ACAAGAGAAGCCAGCGACATAGAAGGGCAGGCTGGGGAAAGGCAGACAAAGCACAAAGTATCTAAGAAGGAAGGCAAAGAGCTTGGCACCTTTGGGGCTTGTAGGGATCCAATAAGGTTGCAGCAGGGAGGGAGAGGAGGATGAAGGTGTGAGAAGGAAGCGAAGGGAGGAGTGGATCACAGAGGATTTGACAAGCCAGGAAAGCATTGTGGACCAGGGAGAGCTTTAACAGCTCTGGGTGCAAAGGTACTCTTGCACCATGTCTGTGAGCATGAGGCAAAGAGAAGGTTCTGCAGAAACCAGTTTCCTGGTTGCCCTGAGAGTGTGAGAGAAAAAGGAGTTTTAGCAAATGGTGCTGTGCCAGACGGTTTCCGTGGTAGCAGAGAAACCCTGGGGGAGAGAGGGGTCCTAAGCTGCTCTGCATATCAGCAATCCGTCCCTCACAGCAGGCAAAGTGACAAGAGAGAGCCATTAGGTTCACAAAGGAAACCTTAAAATAGACTTGGTTAGAGATGCAAATTCAGTTCAGTGTAGGTCTCCCAATGTCTTTAAGCTTAAAAGAGCCCTCTGGGAGTGAAAGGGGGAAGGAGGAAAGGAAGGCAGAGCAGATGGCTCCGTGAATGGGACCTGCGCACTTCAGACAACCCAAGAGAGTCTTTATTAATGAGAAGAACGCTCCACGCGACAAACCCGCGTGCCTTCCGTTATTAATAGCATTATTCTTCCATTTATGAATTGCTAACAGATCCATCCTGGGCTCTTTGAGTCTGAGAGGGAAAGAACCATGTTCCTCTGCCTACTTACAAATGAGCTGCCAGAGGGCCATTTCCCAGGACTTTAAGGAAAGTGAATGTTCCAGAAGAGAAGTAATTACAGTTCTTGGTTTCCAACTGTCTGAGTGGCAGCTCAGATGGTTAATTGACTCTGCTACCCAGCTCCGTGTTCCTGAGGCTTTCCACATCATTGTCTTCTTTCTCCCACATCTTGGGGAGTTTCCACAGTCCAGAAAGCTGGGCACATTTAGGTTACCTCGGAGGGCAGGCCCACCATAGGCAGCAATTGATATCTAAGCCTCTGCAGCTTGCTCTGCTGATTGTCTGTGGAGTTGGAGAGTCTGGGTGTTCATTAGCATCTGTGATATTCTCATTAGCATTCATGAGGCCCATCTGAAAAGCCTCAGAGCCAGAGAGAGAGGAGTAATTCTGTGCCATAGGGACGGACTAGGGGAACTTTCCTGGTTCATTTCGGCCCCAGTGAGGACCAAGGAACCATCATTTCTATCCCAAGATGCCCATCTTAGCACCTAAATGACCATTCTCAGGGAAGTTTGGGAAATAATATTTTAAAATATTTTATAATGAAGAATTTCAAACATGCACACAAGAATAAAGTTACAATGACTCTTCAAGAGTTTACTGCTCCATCAATAATTCTTAATATTTTGCCAATCGTTTAAAACTCTATTTCCCTCTGTTTTTTTCTTTGTAATTTTCAGATCTCGCATGATCTCATCCCTAAGTTTTTGAATATATCTCCAATTGATAAAAATGTTCCCCTCTCCATTTTTTTTGCAGGTTGAGTTCCCTGAGAAACAAACTCTGAGAATGAAATGGAGCCATGGGCAGTGGCTTTAGGATCGGCACCCACAGGAAGAAGGACAGGAGACAAGCTGGGAGAGGGAGAAGCTGGGTTGCTGGGCTGTCCTCCAGAGCACTCAGCTGACCTCTGAAAATGCCACAAAGAGGGCACTTTTGACTGGTCCAGAGTCGGGATGAGCAGGCTTTGCCTTGACATTCCCATAGAACCCCCACACTAACTGGGCTGTCCTTGGGAAGTTGGTGTAACCTTGGTACTGAAGAATAGTTTTTGAAGAAGCCCATGGGTTAACTGGCAGGCCTCCCAGCAGTGGAGGGAACAGATTTTTTGTTTCTGAAGGGGACCCCAGTGGGTCATCAGAGTGTCCCCTTTAGACATGATTACCCCCAACAAAGCCAACAAAATTCTTCAATATCATCCACGAGTATCTAAAAAAGGTCTGGCCCAGATGAAGAGTTATCTTAAATTGGCTTAAAAGATTTCCTTACTGCAGGTTTAGTCTGACTTTTCGATATGCTAATGAACATCAAGACTGTTAAAGGGCTTCTGTTTCCCCCCCTTTTTTATTTACTTGAGATGCAGAGAGCGACTGAAAGAGATACACACAGAGAGTTCCTACCCAATGGTTCATCCCTCTAATGCCTGAAATGGGAACGCAGTCCAGGTCTTCAATGTGAGTGGCAGGAACCCAATTACTTGAGCCATCACCACTGCCTCCCAGGATACACATTAGCAGGAAGCTGGAATGGGGAGTCAGGGTCAGGGATCAAACTCAGTTATGTAGGATACTGGCATACAAATTGGCATCTTAATCACCAGGCTAAATGCTGATCCACATGCAAAAGTCTTAATCAGTGTCTTTACCGTTATGCCCAATGCCTACCCTTCCAAGAGGGTTCTTAAATGTGCAATATTTTAAAAAGTTGTTTAACCATTTAATATATTCTTGGTTTTATTTATTTATTTGGTTGGTTCATAAACCGAAATCAATATCCTGGAGTATTTAGTGAACAAGGAGATACGAATTTTTAGACTTAATATCTTACGTATTATTTTTGATAATATTTTAAATTTACATTATAGTCAAAGACCTAGTGCTCCACTATTTTACAGTATTTGAGAATATCCAAACCAAGTCTCTCTTGTATGACAAAGAGCAAATGTTCAGAGTAAATACGACTTGATGATATAGTCCCTTCCAAGATAACCACTAATTCCAGGAGCATCTGAAGACATTTTGTTAGAACAGGACATGTACTAAAAATACCATGCACTTTATTACATCCACAGCCTTTCACCAACAGGACTTGTTGATATGGTCATTTCTGCAGAGGAAGTGTGGTAGAAAAGGTGGAAAGGATGAAGAGTTTCTGTAGATGTCTTGAAGATATTTTTAGGCTGCTTTGAAGACTCATTTATAACTGCTAGTTCAAGCTTAAGGGGCTGGTGTTGGAAATCAAGGCACTGGAAAGAAGCAGTTCTCCAAGGTTTAGTGAAAGGTCCATAAATCAATATATTCAATTTACATATATGTGATGAACCCAGGCATTGGAATTGATTGATGCAGGGGAAATACAGTTTATTCCATGGGTGTTTTTGTTAGAGTGAGGAGGAGAAAGATGACCATGGAGCTTAGCAAGTCAATGTGTATGCAATCAGTTTCCCTTGTTGTTGTATGGTTGCTTCTCTCGTGGGATTTTTTCAAAACAAAAATACTACCTCGATTAATCTAAGTGTTCAAGCATTATTTGTATTTCATGGAGAAAATTCTTAATCACACAGCTGTTAGGTGAGAATGTTGGCAACATGATCTAGACACTTGGATGGTAACTCTGTTCTGTCTATTGGTGCACTTCACCAAGAGGTTCAGAACAGTGGAAGAACTGGAAGAAGAGGGGGCTGGGATGTCTGGAATAAGGAGTGAATTTGCCAGGCTTCCCTGGGGGAATTTGATGACCTAGGAGGAATCCTCCTCTCCACAATTTATGCGAGAGCTCTGTGCCTTCTAAACCCCTGGGGTTGCTTCTCTGGTTCATTGTGAGAGATGGTGTGGAAGGCCAGTACAGACCTGAAACCGGATCTTTGTGCCTTACAGTTCTAGCTGTACTCACTAGCAGTATGTTTCATGCATTACATTCAGAACATCAGTTTTTATTGATTGATTGATTGATTGATTTGATAATGCCTGTCTCCTTCAAGCTGTTTATGGCAATTAAATTATGTGTTGTTTATGAATTGCTAGATACTCAGTAAATGCTAATATTCTTTCTCTTATTCCTGAGTGAATTACTACTCATCTTCAGCATTAGAAGTTGTTGGTTTCAAAAGCAAAGACTAGGCTTTCCAATAAAACCAGAATTCTTGGATCTCTCCTCCTCCCATCCATCCCATTTCCTAAGAATCTATGCAACACCTTCTGTGAGAGTTTAGCTGTGCACACTACTAAATTATTTTATATATTGCTAGAGAAGTCTCTGAAGGGCTCATACTTATCTGCCTATCACATTTGAGGTCACTTCATTCAATAATTATTAATAAAAAATGTAAGCAACAAATGACTTGGTACTTACTATGACCTAGCAAAGTGTTTGATAGGCAGTAACAACTTTATGGAGTAGGATCTGCTATTATTCTCACTACAGTGATGAGGCTTTTGAGCAGTGGGATTGAGTAAATTGCCCTAGATCATGGAGCTGGTAAGTAATGGAGCAGGCTTTTAAACCTGCTCTTGATGACATCAAAGACCCTTGAGCAGACACTGTGACAAAAAAAAAAAAAAAAAAACAAAACTAAATCAAAGATCTCTGTGAGTGAGCTCCCAGCAGAAAGAATGGGCCATCAAAGAAGGAGGTTCCTTTCTCTGAAGGGAGGAGAGAACTTCCACTTTGACTATGGCCTTGTCTAAATAAGATCGGAGTTGGTGAACTCAAAAGGCTTCCATAACCTTGGCAACTCATGACAAGAGCCTCGGGTGATTACTGATGCCATAAACAAGATTGTCAATCGTTAAATCAACAACAGGAGTCACTGAGCACTTACTCCCCATGTAGGATCTCTTTCCTTAATGTGTTGTACTATGTGAATTAATGCTATAACTAGTACTCAAACAGTACTTTACACTTTGAGTTTCTGTGTGGGTGCAAACTGTTGAAATCTTTACTTAGTATCTACTAAATTGATCTTCTGTATATAAAGCTAATTGAAAATGAATCTTGATGTGAATGGGATGGGAGAGGGAGCGGGAGAGGGGAGGGTTGCGGGTGGGAGGGTAGTTATGGGGGGAAAAGCCACTGTAATCCAAAAGTTGCACTTTGGAAATTTATATTTATTAAATAAAAGTTAAAAAAAAAACAAAGGCCCTTGAGCAACAAAACCACTTGTAACAGTGTCTCTTCCAATCCTAGTGGACAAGGAGTTCTTGGGCCTGTAGAAGTGTATGGAGAAAGGAAAGTGCCAACTGTGGGAGGACCAGGAAATATAGTTTAAGTAAATTGGCCAGAAACTCAGCTGAAGCTTGCTCTTTCAAGTAAGTAAATGTATTAACTTCAGTCTCTCTCTAACTTTGCAGCTGTTTATTATTCTTATATCAAACATACTGGTCAAATTTGAAGTAGGAAATTTGCAATAAATACCTTCAACTTTTTTTAACTCCTAAATTTTGTGATCACACAAAAAAAGAGTGTGTTTGCATCTAATCCATTGTGTCTGTGCCCCTGAACACATCTCTCCTTTGGGTAGGAGAATGGAGGGCTGTCATTGGATTGGCCAAAGTCGTGTTCCTGTAACCTGTGCAGTTGGGTAGAATGGAGGTTAGAGTAAAATTTCAGTCAAGAAAGGGAATGACAGCAGACTGGAGAATGAAAGGAAGATATGCTGTGCAGAAAAAAATAATTTTCCTCTTATGTTAAGTCACTTAAAGCTTATCTACATGTAAACAAGTCATTTCTCTCTAAACTCTTTTCATCCATAAGGAGAGTAATAATTTTCCTTGTAAGGTGATTGTTGAGGGACAAATGAAATGCTATATTAGAAAGAAAAACCTTTGTAAACTTTACAGTCCTGCAGAAACATTAATTCTTACTAGGGTCTTTGAAAACCTGTTGTTTCTCTACTAGTCTTGCTCTACATTGACATATTTTAGCTTCATTCTTGGCATCCAATGCTTGCAAGTCATGCTTTATACTAAACTAATTGAAATGTATGTATTACCCTAGACTATGCATGCTTTATATTCTTCAGCCTGAAGAGAAGCAAACATGAGAGTTAAAAAAAAAAAGAAATCCAAGATATGGTTATTTATATCTCATGTCTGCCAAATTCTCCACCAATGTACAGCTTAATTTCAGGTTTACCTTAAAATGTCTCTGCTACAAGGTAAAAGCTGGGTGACAGCCTGTGGATAAAAATAAATACATGGTTTATACAAAGGCAAATATAATAAAGGAAACCAAAGCTCAGGAAGATGCGGGTGAAAACTGAGTTGTGATCAGTTTGTACATTTTAAGGTAAGTGAGAACTTTGCTGAAGGTTATGAATCAAGGGGAGAAAGCAGTGCTTCTCTAAATAATTAAAGCTTCACATTGTATCTTCTTGTAATGCTCTAGCTAATCAAAGTGGAGTTTGCGTGCTTGACCTTAAAGTCAAGAAGGAAATCTTGAATTTCTTCAGCTTCCTGCTTCGGCTGAGGAATTCTAAAACATAGCTATGAGAATGCCATTTTTAGAGAACGTCGCTAGTGATGAATTATGTTCTCTGGTTTGGTAACCTTGACAAACTGGTACCCTCTCTTAGGAAGTTGTGTATGTCATCACTGCTTTCTAGACACCTTAGTGTCATTAATAGTAGTTAGTGGAAAGACTAAAGAACTGGAGGCAGAAAAATGAGCTAATACTGTGGCTTAGGATAAGGAGCACTACATTCCCAATCTCGAGTTAATACAATTTTTTCAGGAATGTATTTTTGCAGTTGGGGGTCATCAAATTAGGATCCAGGGAAAATCTACCCATTGTATTTGATTAACATATCTCACAAATCTCTTTAATCTACAACTACACACCACCTCCTATCCTTTTCTTTTTCTCTGCTATATATTTGTCAAGGATGCTGGGTCATTTGGTCTGCAGAATTTCCTGTGTACCAGATTTGACTAATTACACTGTGTAGCATTTTAAAAACATGTCTCTTTACCCTTCCAATTTACTGGAAAACTGTTAGATGAATGTAGAGGCTTGATTATTTTCTTTTGGCATATATGATGCAAGTTTAATTTGGAGATGGAAGCAGGCACTAACTATATCATTGCCTTAGGGGACATGTGATGGCCAGTTATCAATCACATTGGTAGGACAAACAATGACCCCACTTTCCAAATAAGTTCAAGCTGTTTGGATATCCAGGATCTATGAATATGTTATGCAACATGGCAAAATAGACTCTGTAGATGTAATTCAGGCTACGGATCTGAAAACAGGGAGAAAGCCAATATTACCCAGGAGGATCCAATATAATTCCATGAACCTTTAAAGACAGAGAAACTTTTCGGCTGCATTCAGAAGCATAAGAACAATATGGTGGGGAGGATGGGGTAAGTCAGAGAGAGGGCAAGTTTGAGGAAGCTTTGCTATGCCATAACTGGCCTGAGATGGATGGGCACATGTGTGAGCACCCAAAGAGGCCTCCAGAGGTCTAGGGCACCACTCCGCTGACAGCCAGCAAAGAAACGGGATCTCAATGCAAGCACTGTAAGAAACTCCATTTGGCTAACAACCTGAATGAGTTGGAAGCGGATTTTCCCCAGAGCGTAACAGTGAGAGCCCAGGTCAGCTGACATCTTCTTTCCAAAACCAGGAGCTGAGAAACCAGTCAACCTAAAACTGACTTTCCACCTACAGAACTGTGAGTAATGAATTTATGTTGTTTTAGGCTGCTAGATTTGTAATACTTGTCAGAGAAGCAATAGAAAGGTAATACAAGAAGATGTTGGTATTGTCAGCCTGATTCATTTATTAAGAAGTTCCCCATCCACCTTCCACCTGAAGGGTTCAGGAGCTGTTGATCCTTGTGGCTTACATTTGCTGTTGTGTTTAGAGAGTCACCAAATGGGGCTTTTTGCAGTTCTATCATTCCTTCTGTGTTTATTATTTGATATTCTTCTGTAAAGAAGAACTTTTTCTTTTCAATCAAAGTAAGCTTTGTACATAAAAAGGTGGATAAATGTGTTTTTTTCTCTTTATTTATTAGTCTTAGAATACTGAGAAGGTTGTTTTGATGCTATTCCAGGTGGCCAATTTTTGATATATTAAGATTTCATGGATTGTTGTATATTTATGTGTTTCAACTATAGTATTGCCATTCATTTATATTGGGTGCTTAACTGGTCTACATTGGTGGCCTTGGAAAGTGCCTCAAGTTGTTCCCTTGAATTTTGTCAAGACCTCACTTTCTTATGGTAATGTTTTAATTCAAATGTTCCAGTAGATAGTTAACGTTTTATTTTTGTGCTTGAATTGTTTTGTTAAAAAATTTTGGTTTTATCATTAATTCTCATAGTACAACTCATTAAGGACAGATGTCCAACATGGGGAATAAGTGACAGTGACTGCTGCTGTTGATTTAACAAGTAACACTCTTATTTTTGACGTCAGTGACTACCTGAGGCTATTGTTATGGGCTTCCAAGGCTATGGAAGCCTCTTGAGTCCACAAACTCTGTCAATATTTAGAAAGGGCCATAAAGTGGAGCAGCCGGGACTCGAACTGGTGCCCACATGGGATCCCAGCACTACAGGTGGTGGCTTTGCTGGCTACGCCACAGCACTGGCCCCTCTTCCAATTTTCTGTCTCTGGATCAAACAAACCCAGGTCCCTTTTTGGTTGGGCCTATTTTCTTTTCTTTTCTTTTTTTTTTTTTTAAGATTTATTTATTTGAAAGAGTTACACAGAGAGAGGAGAAGCAGAGAGAGAGAGAGAGAGAGAGAGAGAGGTCTTCCATCTGATGGTTCACTCCCCAAATGCCGGAGCTGTGCCGATCTGATGCCAGGATCCAGGAGCTTCTTCCGGGTCTCCCACGTGGGTGCAGGGGCCCAAGGACTTGGGCCATCTTCTACTGCCTTCCTGGGCCATAGCAGAAAGCTGGACAGGAAGTGGAGCAGCCGGGTCTTGAACTGGTGCCCATATGGGATGCTGGCACTTCAGGCCAGGGCGTTAACCCACTGTGGCACAGCGCTGAGGTTGGGCCTATTTTCAACACTAAACATCAACACTTATGAGATTTTTCTAAGTTCTGTAGCAAAGCCCCTCGTGGAGGCTCGTCAGCTCCTCGGGTCTGCTAGTGTTTAGCTGAGTGATGGTCCTACCTCTTGGCATTTCCTTTTTTTTAATTCTTCTCTCACTCGTGAAAAGTATCCATTTGCCCGTGGGCAGGGCACTCCTGCTCCTCATGTGGGTCCCGAGAGAGCAGACTATGTTTGCTTCTCCTGGAGATACCCCAACTACGAGCTCCATTCACAAGTTCAGTCGGTGCCTCCAGTGCTTTATCCTTCCCCATGGCCTCTGGGGTCCCTGACACGGCTTTGCTGTGCAATTTTCAGTTCAGTCCAGTCCTCTGTGCTGTGCCCAGGGTTAGATGCAGTCAGTGTGGTCCTCCCTGCCTGCAGGGGTGTTTGGAATGATCATGTTTCCGAGTGCCTGTGCATGTACTTGGGGGTGCACTGAAGCGCCTTGACGGGACGAGCACCGTTAGGTGGTACAAGGCACTGTGACCTGGGGCGGCACTGACAGCTGTCAGGAGGGCTCGAGAGGAAGCAGAGCAGCTTTCGTCCAGGTCTTTAGACACGAGGGTTTTATGTGTTATTAGGTGTTTCGTGTTCCTAAAAACACCTTCTACTTTTTAAAAAATGATGTATATTTTATTCTGGTAATTATATGAAGTGTCTGAGCAGCATACTGTAAACCATATAATTTTGTATTGGATCAGAATGGAAACTCATGGGATATGGTATATCTGATCATTTCCACGAAAAATCTCTGGGATAATAAAAAAATTCTTTCCAAAAAAAAAAAAAGGGCCATAGTCAAAGTGGAAGTTCTCTCCTACCTTCAGAGAAAAGTACATCCTTCTTTGATAGCCCCTTCTTTCCACTGGGGTCTCACTCACAGAGATCCTTCATGTAGGTCTCGGCTTTTTATGCCTGGAATGCTTTCCTGGACTTTTCAGCCAGATCCAAATGCCTTAAGGGCTGATTCTGAGGTCAGAGTGTTATTTAGGGCATTTGTCATTCTATGAGTCTGCTGTGTGGCCTGCTTCAAGGGGTTAGTTTTTGTTTTACTTTTGTTTTCAAATATGTGAATGTGTACATCATTTTAACTCAAAATAGATAACTAATAGAAAAGACATTCTGAGAATTCCAGTTTATATGGTTTTGCTATCATTATTGTCTTTTCTCCTTAGTTTTAAGTCAATTTTTAATTTTAAAAAATGTAAACAAATATGCACACATATTTGCATATATGTATTTGTATATATATGTATTCATAGTTTTCCTTACTTAAATAAAAGTTAGCCTTTTTAGCATACCATTTACCTTGTTAATTCTACTTAAAATTTCCTGGTAGTTATCCCATGGCACTGTATAGAAATATTTCTCATTACTTTTTATGGCTATACAACATTCCATAATTGATTCACAGTAAATTTATTCAGCCTGTTCTATTTAGTTGGACACTTGGGTTGCTTTTCATCTTTTATTATAAACAGCCTGTCATGGGGCCTGTGACTGCTGTTTTCATTTTGGCTTGTGTATATTTGGTGTGTATTTACAGAATTGGGGATCCTGGTAAATATACCAGCCATTTTGATAAATGTTCCCCTATTTCACTCCATAGAGGTTGCACATTTGCAACCCAAGAAATAATTTATGAGAATGCACCACCTCTTAATGAAAATTCACTTGCTTAGCCATTTCTTGACTTGAGTAGTTACTGACAAATCAAGCATACCCATTGAGCATTGATTCTCCATATATGAATTCTGAACACTAGGAGCAGATAGTGTGAGAAGCACAGAAAGAAAGCATCCTATATGGAATTAGTGTTTCACATATGTAGAGCTTGTTTTCTTTCTTTCTTGCATAAACTCTGAAGTGATTCATTTGATAACTGTGTGTTGAGAGCTATGTGCTATAACTATACCAGAAGTTAAAGATCCAATGGTAAATAAACCATTAACTTCTCTTTCTCATATAACTTACATAATAGAGAAATTTGTAGATATTTGAAAAAGAGCCTTTCAAATATTGTTATGATGTAGAAACACAAACAGTGATGGGAGAGAGAGTTGAGGTTATCAGGGCCTTTTTTTGCCTCAAATCTCTGATGAAAAATAAGAATTATATATGTGTTTGTGAGTATAAATTTAACCTAGACACAAGGTGTTTTGGAAAATGAAATATACTTTTAAATATTTAAGCATTTCAAAAATTTACTTAGCAATTGTTTCTATCCTTGAGGAAAAGAATAAAAATAAAGATGTTGTATTTCTTGAAATAATTTAAGGGTTGTTATTAATTCATTAAATGATAGATGGTAAAATTCAGCAATGAAGATATCTGGTCCTGGGATTTCTTTGATGGGAGACCTTTTACTACTGATTCAATGTTGCACTCATCATTGGTATAGGATATTCTACTTCTTTGTGATTCAATCTTGGTGTATGTGTCCAAGAATTTGTCCATTTCTTCTAGGTTATTGAATTTGTTACCATAGAGTTGTTTTTAGTAATTTCTAATAATCCTTTGTATTTCTGTGTTGTCCATTGTAATGTATTCATATGCATGTAAGACTTTCTGTATTTGAATCTTCTCTCTTTTTTCTAGTTATGGGTGTATCAATTTTGTTTATCTTTTCAAGGATCCAACTCTTCATTTCAGCGATTTTTGTTTTCTTTTAGTCTCTGTCACATTTTTATTTGTGCTCTGAGTTTTATTATTTCTTTTCTTCTGTTAACTGTGAATTTGATTTGTTCTTGTTTTTCCAGTTCCTTGAGGTGTAGCAGTACGTTATTTAGTGTGGTCTTTCTGTTCTCCATGTAGGTGCTGATTGCTCTGAACTTACCAGTAGTACTGCTTTTGCTGTATCCGTAGGTCCTGTTCTTCTTCTCCACTTCTGCCTATTCTCTGTCAGCCTCCCCTGGTTCTCTTAGTTGTTATTCAGTCATTAAATATTACTGAACATCTACAGTGAGACTTATTTCTGGCATAGTTACTGAAGGATAAACTAAAGACCTGGATCAAAGATCGCCTCCTCCTAAAATATAGTAGTTGGGTGGGGAAGGTGTGGGTAGAGAATTTAAAGGTAGTAACAGTGGTTACATGCATAATAGATAGTAGAGATTATTGTAAGGATTATATATAGAGATACTCACTTGTTTAATATTCACAACAATTTTATGGGAAAAAACTGTATTTGTTGTCACCATTTATTAAAGAGAAAACTGCGGCACAGAAAACTTCAAAGGTTTGCTTGTAGTCTTTAGGATAGTGGAAGAGCAGTCTGGCTCTGGAGGCAGTGTTCTGAACAGTAGGCATTTAAGTGTGTTATCTATTATGAATATCTGTAGCTGAAAGATCCATGTATATGACATGGAGTTCATTGCTTGAAGATCATTTTCTGTACATGTTTATAGCTTCGGCTATGTGCATGTGTAGGAACCGTGCTGTACTTCATTGATGATGATCATCTACTCCAGATCATAAGTGCCCAAGGTGGACCTAGTAGTAATATTTGCTTACATGAACGAAATTTGAGGTTAAAGATTGAGATTCTGTAATCGGAATTTAACACTGGAATAGATGATATTGATTCGGAGGGATATGAGACAAGAGTAAATTGAGAATAAAACTCTAGAGCCTGAACATGTAGGGCAGGGGAAGAGTCACAAAGAAGGTAGAGCAAAAAAGATGATGGACAGGGGGAGACCAGAGCAGAGCAGGCTGTAGGGGAGCAGCTAGCAGAGTGGCCAGCATGGAATCATCCCTGCCATCAGATGAGGTGGAGGAATCGCCTTGCTTGCTTGCTGTGAGAGAAAACACTCCTTGAAACAGGCGCCTGGGGGCAGAGGCTCTCTCTGTGTGGGGATTGCTGATCTCTTTTCTTTCTCAAGTCAGGCACTTCCCTTTCCTAGCAAGGCCTTCGTGTAATTGGAAGCCCTCAGGTGTTCAGTTGCCTTCCACCGACTCCACTCTGTGCTATCTGGACATGCCCCTGACAAATAAGGTGAAGCTGGGTGTGCTTTTGATGGAGAAAATGTGATTTTTGACTCACCTGTACTATAGGATGGACTGGACTGAAGGCATGGTTGGGGGAGGAAGGGAGAAGATGGGAGACTTAGGAGGAATGACACTGACTCAGAGACAGTGAGTAACATTCAATTGAGTAAGCAGTTAATTTTTTTTTTTAAGATTTATTTATTTATTTGAAAGGCAGAGTGACAGAGAGAGGGATCTTCCATCTACTAGTTCACTCCCCAAATGACTGCAATGGCTGGAGCTGGGCCAATCTGAAGCCAGGAGCCAGGAGCTTCTTCTGGGTCTCCCACCTGGATGCAGGGGCTCAAGCACTTGCGCCATCTTCTACTGCTTTCCCAGGCACATTAGCAGGGAGTTGGATCAGACCTGGATCAGCTGGGACTCGAACAGGTGCCTATATGGAATGCAGATATCATCTGCTATGCCACAGTGCCAGCCCAAGGAGTTAATGTTCTTAATGATAATATTAATGACACTGTACCCACCAATATAGTAACAGTATTATGCTAAGACTCTCACTACTGCTGTTGCTGCTGCTGCTGCTGCTGCTGCTGCTGCTACTACTACTACTACAGTCTATACAGTGCAGTGATACTTTGGTCAACAACAAACCACATGTACAACAGTGGTCTCCTAAGATCATATCACCCACTGATGTTGTGGCCATTTTAGTTTGTGTGAGCTCACTTTGGTGTTCACATGATGATGATGAAATCATCCAATGATGCATGTCTCAGACTGTATCCTCATCCTTAAGTACTACATGACATTTTACGGTTGATCCTCTGCATCTGTGAGTTCTACATTCACAGACTCCGCCAACTGTGGATCAAAATTAGTTGAATGTATAGTGCTTGCATCTGTATTGATTGTATACATATTTTTCTTTTTTTAAGGTTTATTTATTTATTTGAAAGTCAGAGTTAACACAGAGAGAGGAGAGGCAGATCGAAAGGGAGAGAGGTCTTCCATCCGATGGTTCACTCCCTAGTTGGTCGCAACAGCCTGAGCTGCGTCGATCCAAAGCCAGGAGCCAGGAGCTTCTTCCCAGTCTCCCATTCGGGTGCAGGGGCCCAAGGACTTGGGCATCTTCTACTGCTTTCCCAGGCCATAGCAGAGAGCTGGATTGGAAGTGGAGTAGCTGGGACTAAAACTAGCGCCCATATGGGATGCTGGCACTTCAGCCCAGGGTGTTAACCCGCTGCACCACAGCGCTGGCTCCTGTATAAATATTTTTCTTTTTGTTATTCCTGAAATAATATAGTGTAGTAAGTATTTACACACTACTTACATTATATATTATAAGTAATCTAGATGTCATAACTGAGTGCCAGCTTCAAGTCCCAGCTCTGCTCTCTATTCCAGCTTCCTGCTAATCTACTCTCTGGGAGGCAGCAGGTGATGGGCCAAGTACTTGAATCTGTTCCACCTATGTGTCCGACTTGGATTGAGTTCCTAGTTGCTGACAGCAGTCTGTCCCAGCTCTAACTCTTGTGGGTATTTGGGGAGTAAAGCAGGAGATAGGAAATTTCTCTTTGTCTTTCAAATAAACAAAATTAATAAAAAAAAAAAAAAACTTTGAAAAGTATACAGGAGGATGCACATAGCTTATATGCAAATACCATACCAGTTACATAAGAGACGAGAGTTTTCAGGTTTTGGTGTCCACGAGGGTTCTGAAACATGGAGAGATGATTGTATTATGACAGTGTCTGTTTCTTCTGTTACCATTCTGCTACCACTACAACTGCTCCGGCACTACTGCTGTTAGTAATAACACCTCAATCACTACTGCAACCGGTAATTGTTCATGAGGTTCAGTTAATGATGCTCATGTCAGTCCTTGTGATAAGCGTTTTGTGTACAAATTGTACTAAAACCTCACAGTATTCCTATCAGGAAAATAGGTTCACTCTGAGGGGAATAAGGCAGTGAAGGTCCTGGAGTTAGACAGCAGGTTGTGGAGCCTGGCCTCTCAAGCCCTCCTGAAGCTTTGACCACAGTGTTGGTCATTACGACAGGTCACGGCTATTCCATTAAGCACCC